CAGGGAAAACTGTCTCTTCACAATGGAAAAGAAAATTTGATATAAAACTTATGCACATCTAGTCACATCGGCTAAGTACAGATGTTCAATGCCCAAAGCACTGTAAATTAGAGCAGGAGCCAACTGAACAGATGTTCACTGTTTTGGGGGGGGGGGCTCAGAGCCTGCCTGCACTGGCCACTGGGGGCACTCCTGTATGCCTCCCAAGAGACTACCAGAATGGCCCCTCTCTCCAGTCTCACCTGCCCTGCCCCCCATCAGCTGGTGACTGTCAGCAGTAGCGGGGGGGACAGGAAGAGGGTCCCCCCACAAAATGCTGGGTGGGGTTTCAGGGTGGAATGGGGTGGGTCCATGCTGGGGAGGGGAAGGGCTCCCTTCCCCTGCTTCCCCCCTGCTGCCCCCCAGCCTCTCAATGGCTACAGCCAGCAGCTGCAGCATGGTGCAACCCAGCTGGGGCTGCTGTAGGAGAAGGGCTCCAAGGTCTGTGTCCCTGCAGCAGCCCCCACCAGGAAGTATGGCTCAAAGGGGGACAGGGGTTGCAGGGGGGAGAGACCCCAGAGTCCTTTCTCCATAGCAGCCCATTCCGCTCCCACCTCCCTCCAGCTCAGACTAGGCAAAGCAGAGAGGGGGAAGCAAGTAGCACTGAGCTCGTGTTTTCCAGGCCTGAGCTGGAGGGGGGTAGAAGTGGAACAAGAGAAAAATTTACCAGAGGGAACACAGGTTTTCTAGGGCATTCTAAAGCAGAGCACCTTCTTCTGATACCTCATATGAGAGTTAATTTTTTGCATGATCAAACACTTTAAAAGCACACTGCAGCCCTGCATATGTCATGGCATGGCTGTACACAGTTTTCTGCATACTTAAAGTGCACAAAGTGCAATGTCTGTATCTAGTCATAGGGTGCTTATACAAGTTACATTTTTTGCATTATTGGACCCCTGAAAGCGCTTTACAGCCATGCCACGACACGTGCATGGCTTCAGAGGGCTTTTAAAGTGTCTGATCGTGCAAATAATTAACTCTCCTTAAATGATGTAGCAGATTGAAGGTGCTCTGCTTCAGAGCACCTTAGGGAACTTGTGTTCCTTAGGATTAATCTTTTGCTTGTTCCATCCCTTCCTCTCTCCAGCTCATGCTGGGCAAGCAGCAGCTCAGTGCTTCTTGTCTCCCCCTCTCTGCTTTGCCCAGACTGAACTGGAGGGGGGTAGGGGTGGAACAGAGCCCCCTCACCTTGCAGACCTGGCCTGCTCCTCCCCCAGTACCTTAGGGGTTTTGTTCCACCCCCATCTCCCTCTAGCTCCAACCAGGCAGCAAATCCCAGTCAGCAGCTTGGAGCTGCTCCCTCCTTCCACTTCCCCTTGTTGACAGCCCTGGAGCTGGGAGGGGAAGGTAGGGCTTGGGGAGAGGGGTGGTGCAGGCAGCCTTGATTTGCCACTCCTCCCCTCCCCAACCCAACAGATAAACATCTTGTTGGGTCGGGGGGAGTGCTGTAACTCATGGCACCTTACATAAAGCACCATGAGTTACAGCAGGGGTCTGAATGTTTGTGCCCGTAAAACCTGCGTCTGCAGCTTCTAGTGGAGTTAGTGGACTGTCCAGGAGCCATTTTATAGTTTCCTAATTCTTAAGGGCTGCTCTAACTTACTCCGGCTGGCAGCAGTCCTCACTGGATTCTCTGCTTTCTGACTATGGTGGTTGCACTCTTCTACCCTGACATGCTGTCTGAACTATGGGTGCAGATAGGGGATAGGAGCTGGCTACACAAGCTGTCTGCTTAGTTAGGAAATTTACCATCCCTTTGTGTTGCTCAAGCAGCTCTGAGAGACCTTGTGTTGTTTTTGTGAAGAGTAAATAAAGTGCTATTTCAACCATTTCACAGCCTGATAACCTAGGTTTGCTTTTCTTCTTAAGCTTGTGAAAGTGACTGTAATGGAATCTGACACATCATCACATAGCTAACCAAATGAAAACGTCCAGTCATGTATTAACAGGCTCTTTTATATATCATGTGATTATTTACAATAGTAATGGCAAAACCATGGTGTTGGTTCAGTGTTCCTCAGAATGTGCTGTTTGTAGGCATGGTGTGTGATGGATTGGGTTTAGGTGAGACAGGACTACTAGGTTCCATTTATAGCTTTGTCATTGACTCGTTGCAAGATCCAGGACAAGCCATTTAGGTTTTGAAGCCAGGGGTTAATTTTGTATTGCTAGCTAAACCAGATAGCTGGGTGCATTTAAATGCAGTTAATTTCACAGACTGCTATTGTGGGCATAATGCAGTCCCCCATGCTTCCATCTCTTTACTTTGGCCTTGCTGTGCTTCAGTTGATGACCAGGATGACCCTCCTATTGAAATGATCCTGATGTGCAGAGGCTTCTTAGAGAGCCTCAAATTACCCAGGTGGTGCAGAGATAAAACGTATTAACATGTGGGGCTTCTCTCTCTCTCAAAAAATTATCAGTAAGATACTGCAGTGATGGGAGTGGGAACTTCCTAAATTTGTCCATTTTCCCGCTGATTTCAGATCACCCAGTTTGAACTCAGGTGGCCTTTGTTTTAAAATCCCAAGAAGATTCTGTACACATCATGTTGTACTAAAAAAGTGTGTGCATATGCGTGTCTATAAATCTCCTGAGTAACTTTATAAGGACAAGCTACAGTTGAAGTTGGAAGTGGGGGAGACAGAGGGGCTGTAGAAGTGAAGAGGAAGTTGAGCATTTTGGAATCCAGATACCATGCAAATAGTTGTGCTACTTGGTATGCATTGCTATAGATGTACACATCCCTGAAGGACAGATGTATTAATTGCTAGGGAGGAGTTGCTGCCTAGGTATTACAGTGGGGAACTATAAACCAGAACTCCTGAATTCTATTTTGGTCTCTGCCCCAAGCCTGGTATTTGATCTCGGGCAAGACGTTTCACCTCTCTGTGTCTAGTTTATGCCTTTGTATAATAATAATTGCCTACCTCACGGGAGGCTTGCAACATTTGTGAAGTTTTTGGAGATGCATAGAGAGAAAGTGTTTAGTTTCCTCGTAGGTTCATCACTTCAGCAGCTAATATTTTCGGTTACCAAAAATAAATAAAAAGGCGAGCACCTTGACTTGTTTAATAGAATCACAATGTCCAGGCTTTGGATTTTTATGCATGGATCTTTTAACCCCATGATATTTCAGGCATACTGTACTATTCATGCAAAGACAAACTCCACAGTTGCTGCCACACCATCTGCCACCTTTATCCTGCT